AATAAGAATATAATAGAAAATAGAATAGAATAGAAAATAGAATAGAATAAAATAGAATAGGGAACAGAATAGAGAATAGAATAGAAATAGGGAACAGGATAGAATAGGAATTAGAATAGAATAGAATTCTTTATTGGCCAATTGTGATTGTGTTGGAAGAAATATCCTTGTGGGTTCAGTTCCCAGTGCAGAAAAAGACACTGGAAACGTGGATCCTGTTTGGAAGGTTTAATGGTGGGCAGGAACACATGGCTTAGAGCTCCGAAGTGAAAAGGATGATCACATGCTTCAAGATGTTGGGTGAAGGTAAAGAAGGGAGGGCTGAGATGCTGAGAGACCCTTAGTTTTATACCCTCTGTTGGGCTCCACCTTAGTGTTTCCTGTTCTTGTGTAAGAAATGCATCCCATTGGCTGTAAGACTCCCAGGAGCGATGGGGGAGTGTTCTTAGCTGGACCACATGGTTTCACCTGAGTGCTGGCTGATGCAAACTTACCAGGCCAGGTGGTGAGAAGGGTAGAGGGTTTTGTTATGTAGAATACTCTGGCCCAGGTCTTAATGGCCCACCCATTAACAAAGGCGGGGGAGGGGGGGTTGAGCTGCCGCTGAGGTGGGTTTGTGCGTCTGAGTTTCTGCTTCCCTTTTAGGGAAATATTCTGCCATTTTAATATTTCCTAGGATATTTCATTTTTTTAGGAGAGGGATGGGTGCTAACTTCCTACAATTGGACACACAAGGAATTTGTCTTTGGTGCATAGGCTCTCAGTGTACATAAAAATACATTCATCAAGAATAATAAGATGCAAGTGCAATGAAGTAAGGATCTAAATCTAATCTCACAGGTTTATTTATGATATATTTATGTATTATATCACACTTATAGTTGTGAGGAAAATGCAGTAGGAGGAAGGAGTATGTTCACCGCCTTCAATTATTTATAAAAATAATAAAGGGGAGATCTAAATAAATAAACTCTTGATTGATAGAAACCTTGAAATTATGCAATTAGAGACAATAATTAAGGATACCGTGAATTATAAGAAGGATCAATCCATTTTGGGGTACCCAAAGCTAACAGGTCCCATGAGAAACACTCAGTTGTTTGGGGCACATGATGACGTTATCCTGGAAAGACTTTAAATTAATGTAGCTAAGTCTAAATTCAACCTTAGTGAAGAAAGCCTTTGAATGTTGTTCCAGTATGCGTGGAAAGTGGCACAAAACAAAAAAGGCTTTAGAGATAGTCCTTGATTTATGACTCTTTGCTTAGTGACCATTCGAAGTTCCAGTGGACCTACCTGGGGGGTACTTACAACCTGGATTCGAAGTTCCAACAGTTGCACCTCCTGTGATGTGACCCCACTTTGGGTGCTTAATCATTTGCAGCATCCTGCAGCCATGTGGCTGCATTTTACAATGGTTTTGCCAAAAACCAGCCTTTGCAACTGGCTTTTGGGGAAACCTCCCCATAGCAAACCATTGGTTTGCTTAATATTTAACCACAATATTTGCTTAACAACTGTGGCGTTCACTTTACCACCGCAAAAAAAAAAAAAAAAAGGTTATGAAATCAAGTCAGTCATGTGACCGGCTTGCTTTACCACTATCATGAGTTACAACAACTCCATTATGGCTATAATTTATCCCTTTTTTAAGGAGCTGTGGTGGCACAGTGATTAGAATGCAGCGTTGCAGGCAAATTCCGTTCACTGCCAGGAATTCAATCCTCACCGGCTCAAGATTGACTCGTCCTTCCATCTTTCCAAGGTCGGTAAAATGAGGATTCAAATTGTTGGAGGCAATAGGTTGACTCTTTAAACCAGGGGTCGCCAACCTTTTGGACTTCAGGGATCAGCAAACTCATAATTTTAAATCCCGCAGACTATTAATATGAATTTTGACTGATGGTGGCTTGCTGACGTTTTCCCAGGGTCTCTGAAGAAAGCAACAGAGACCCTGGGAAAATCCCCAAAAAAGTCTGCAGGAAAATTCCCCACCCTGTTTTCCTACCGATCGATCGTTGTTTATTTGGGATCGCAGGATACCGTCTCCAGCTCCGTTCTCAGCCGGGGAGAGAGAGACTTTTGGCTTCATGCAAGGAAAGCAGCAGAAGGAGCAGAAGTCTTCCTTTCTCTCCCCAAAACTCCGACAGAAATGAGTCTTTGTGAGACTTCTCGTGCCGGCGCAGCCTCTTGGAGCAGGATGCCTTGCAGGGTCCCAAAGACTCATTTCTGGCAGAGTTTCGGGGAGAGAAAGAAAGACTTTTGCTGCTTTCCTTGCGTTCAGCCAAAACAGAAGAAGAAAGAAGCAGAAAGAAGCAGCCGGTGGCCAGGCAAGGCACGTGGCGCGAGTCCCCCCCCCCCCGCCCTTCCCCCCTTCCCTCACTACCTCATGTTGCTTGCAATGCAAGCAACGCAAGCCTTGTGTTCCCGCGGGTCATGTGGGCAGCACAGCCCTGTGTTCCCGCACAGCCTAGATTAATTGCTTTGGGGGTAACATTTCTCTGCAGACCACCAAAATTTTCTCACAGACCACCAGTGGTCCCTGGCCCATTGGTTGGTGACCACTGCTTTAAACCACTTAAAAATGGCTGTAAAGCACTGTGAAGCGGCATATAATTCTAAGTGCTATTGCTATTGCTATAATTTGACTACTATATTCATTTAGTGGTAGCTGGGCTTCCAGGCACAGGCCTATATCAGTAGAGCAAGAGATGAGTGATGCTAGATGTCCCTTACTGAGAAAAACCTCTGCGACGTTTCTTGCCTGTGGCAAAAGACAAGATGTGCGAGACGTTATGTACTGAAAGCAACCGGTTTGGCCTGCACTGAAAATGTGGCAGTGGTAGCCTCCATTACACCTGAGGGCAGCCAGTTTTAACCAATGGGCTTAAATAGATGCCACACATTAGTTCCCTGTTCCCCTCATCATTATCCTCAAGCCCCCAGCATTCGCTATCTTAAAAAAAGGTGTCATAACAATGAGTTCCTTCTTGCTCTGGGCTATAGTTTGCAGCAGAATCTGACAAGGCATTGTTTAGATTCACAACAATGGTAAGGAAGCTTGGGCATGTCTTGTGCAGACCTTGGCACATAACCAGCAGCGCTGGTCTTCCTGCATCAACACTGTTTGAAATAATTTGGTTATAATAAAACCTCAGGGGAGAGCCACAGAATTCAATTCAACATTCCACAAGTGTAATTTTTGCTCAGCAATAAACACGGCCAATGCACATATCGCCAAGCCTAATCAGTCAAAAAATGTTTCAGGCAGATGTTTCTGTCTTTCCTTCCTCAAACAGAAGAAGATGGCATACCCCTTTATGGATCACTGACTTGTCGTGGCAAAGGCGCTTTGCCCAGCTAAATGAAGCTGTGAGCTATGCCAATCAAAACGGACAAGTCATCGTGGGATGTTCTGACAAAATACAGTCCACTGGAGAAGGAAATGGCAGCCCACTCCAGGATCCTTGCCAAGAAAACCCCATGGAGAGGACCAAAATGCTAAAATGAACATGAATTTGGGCAAAACGTGGGAGAGGAGTGGAGGACAGAGGGGCCTGGTATGCTATAGCAATGGGGTCGCTAAGAATCAGACACGACTTAGCGACTGAACAACAAGAAGGTGTGGTACAGATGCCAGCTATAGACTATCCTTTGCATTTTCTATATATAATAAAATCCCCATATAGCTGCACATTTTTGGACTTATCACATGACCACTGGTAGATCTCGACCTACAATGGTTCGTTCAACAACCACTCCAAGTTACAGTGGCACTGAACAAAGAGAATTACGACCAGCCCCCAAAGTTATGGTTCTTGCAGTGGCCGCCGTGGTAATGTGATCAAAAATTGGATGCTTGGCAGACTGCCCACAGTTATGACCTCAGGGGCACTGCGACTCTCCCCATCCGCTTATAACCCCCTTCTGTGCCTATAGAGATTCCCAGTCATCCAGGTCATGGTTGCCCCCAAAGGTGTTTTTTCAAAAGGCAACTGGACTTCCTTTGTTTTTTTCCTTGAAAATGTTTTGCTTCTCATCCAAGAAGCTGAAGAAGCTTCTCAACCAAGAACGAACGTTTTTTTCCAGTTTTGGTCGCCACGATGTAAAAAAGATGTTGAGACTCTAGAAAGAGTACAGTAGAAGAGCAACAAAGATGATTAGGGGACTGGAGGCTAAAACGTATAAAGAGCCGTTGCTGGAACTGCGTATGTCTAGTTTGATGAAAAGAAGGACTAGGGGTGACATGATAGCAGTGTTCCAATATCTCAGGAGCTGCCCCAAAGAAGAGGGAGTTAATCTATTCTCCAAAGCACCTGTAAAGATAAAGGTTCCCCTCACAGATACGTGCTAGTCATTTCCGGCTCTAGGGGGCGGTGCTCATCTCTGTTACAAAGCCAAAGAGCCAGCGCTGTCCAAAGACGTCTCCGTGGTCATGTGGCCAGCATGACTAAACGCCAAAGGCGCACAGAACACTGTTACCTTCCCACCAAAGGCGGTCCCTATTTTTCTACTTGCATTTTTTATGTGCTTTCGAACTGCTAGG